GTGGTCAAAGGTCACACCGTGGTCAAAGGTCACACCGTGGTCAAAGGTCACAGGGTTACTTGCTCCAACCTCGATGTTACTTGACGTTACTTATTGCTGGTTATCCTCTTGTCTGCTCCCAGTTAGGTCTTGAAGCTTGTTGCTGAGCACAGCATCACAGACCAGCTTAGCAGCATCACAGACCAGCTTAGCAGCATCACAGACCAGCTTAGCAGCATCACAGACCACTTAGCAGCATCACAGACCCAGCTTAGCAGCATCACAGACCAAGCTTAGCAGCATCACAGACCAGCTTAGCAGCATCACAGACCAGCTTAGCAGCATCACAGACCAGCTTAGCAGCATCACAGACCAGCTTAGCAGCATCACAGACCAGCTTAGCAGCATCACAACCACTTAGCAGCATCCAACCAGGTTAGCAGCATCACAGACCAGCTTAGCAGCATCACAGACCAGCTTAGCAGCATCACAGACCAGCTTAGCAGCATCACAGACCAGCTTAGCAGCATCACAGACCAGCTTAGCAGCATCACAGACCAGCTTAGCAACATCACAGACCAACTTAGCAGCATCACAGACCAGCTTAGCAGCATCACAGACCAGCTTAGCAGCATCACAGACCAGCTTAGCAGCATCACAGACCAGCTTAGCAGCATCACAGACCAACTTAGCAGCATCACAGACCAGCTTAGCAACATCACAGACCAACTTAGCAGCATCACAGACCAGCTTAGCAACATCACAGACCAACTTAGCAACATCACAGACCACTTAGCAACATCACAGACCACTTAGCACATCACAGACCACTTAGCAACATCACAGACCAACTTAGCAAGCATCACAGACCAGCTTAGCAGCATCACAGACCAGCTTAGCAGACACACAGACCAAGCTTAGCAGCATCACAGACCACTTAGCAGCATCACAGACCACTTAGCAGCATCACAGACCACTTAGCAACATCACAGACCAGCTTAGCAGCATCACAGACCAGCTTAGCAAGCATCACAGACCAGCTTAGCACATCACAGACCACTTAGCAGCATCACAGACCAGCTTAGCAGCATCACAGACCAGCTTAGCAGCATCACAGACCAACTTAGCAGCATCACAGACCAACTTATCAACATTACAGACCAACTTAGCAGCATCACAGACCAGCTTAGCACATCAAGACCAACTAGCACATCACAACCAACTAGCAGCATCACAGACCATACTTAGCAACATTACAGACCAACTTAGCAGCATCACAGACCACTTAGCAGCATCACAGACCAACTTAAGCAGCATCACAGACCAGCTTAGCACATCATCAGACCAACTTAGCACATCACAGACCAACTTAGCAACATCACAGACCAACTTAGCAACATTACAGACCAACTTAGCAACATCACAGACCAACTTAGCAACATTACAGACCAACTTAGCAACATCACAGACCAACTTAGCAACATTACAGACCAACTTAGTCAACATCACAACCAACTTAGCAACATTACAGACCAACTTAGCAACATCACAGACCAACTTAGCACATTACAGACCAACTTAGCAACATCAGACCAACTTAGCAACATTACAGACCAACTTACAACATCACAGACCAACTAGCAACTTACAGACCAACTTAGGCAACATTACAGACCAACTTAGGCAACATTACGACCAACTTAGCAACATCACAGACAATTAGCAACATTACAGACCAACTTAGCAACATCACAGACCAACTTAGCAACATTACAGACCAATTAGCAACATCACAGACCAACTTAGCAACATTACAAACAACTTAGCAACATCACAGACCAACTTAGCAACATTACAGACCAACTTAGCAACATTACAGACCAACTTAGCAACATTACAGACCAACTTAGCAACATCACAGACCAACTTAGCAACATTACAGACCAACTTAGCAACATTACAGACCAACTTAGCAACATCACAGACCAACTTAGCAACATCACAGACCAACTTAGCAACATTACAGACCAACTTAGCAACACCTGCTGTCAGTGTTCACCTAGCGGTAAGTAGGTACCTGGGTGTTAATCGACTGGTGTGAGTCGCATCCTGGGACAAAATTGACCTAATTTGACCAAAAATGATCTACATAACCAGGGGCTTCCTATATAGTAGTATGTCATAGGTGTGAGCTATGGTCTGTATAAGTTGTATCATGTACTCGCAGAAATAAAGATATTATTATTTATTATTATTTATTATTATTATTATTATTATTATTATTATTATTATTATAGTATTATAATATGATAGGTTAAGGAATGAACATGAACAATAGTATTAGTATTATATTTAGGGGAAAGTCCTAAACCTGTAGGGGTATAACAGCCTGTGTACTAGTTTCAGTCCATAAACTTTGGGGCCCAGTCCTGGACCATTAGTACCTCTGAATCTGTGATACCTTGTAACTTGCAGATTGGACTAGACTTCTGGAGTTCATACCTTTGTAAATGTGAGTTCATTACTTTGTAATTTGTGAGTTCATTACCTTTGTAATTTGGAGTCATACTTTGTAAATTGTGAGTTCATTACCTTTGTAAATTGTGAGTTCATTACCTTTGTAAATTGTGAGTTCATTACCTTTGTAAATTGTTAGTTCATTACCTCTGTAACTTGCTCAGCTATCAAAACTTTGGAGTCCAGTCCCTGGACCCATTATGTACCTCTGTAATCTTTTGACTACCGCCCACAGGATGGGTATGGGGTGCATAATAAACATATTAAACTACTAACTAACTAAGCCCTGTGGAACAGGAGGCAGTTATATTTAATCCATTAAAATGGAGTTAAAGTCCAGTTCCTTGGATGAAGAGCCCCTCAGCAGCAGTAGTAATAGACATAGCCACAAGTGGGTGGGGCCCACTAGTGGAAGTAGGTTAGATATATAATGTGGGTCACAGAGTTAGCAGTGTAGTTGTAGAATCTTGTATTCTCAGTACAGGCGGGGGCCCCACTTTACAGCACTTCGCGTTTCACTAATGCAGCAGTTTTCAATTATATCCATTCTTCATCTATTCAGACTTCCTACAGTAAGCACAGTGGACCCCCGGTTCACGTCATTAATCCGTTCCTGAGAGCTCATCGTAAACCAAAATTATCGGAAAGCGAATCAGTTTTCCCCATAAGAAATAATGGAAATCAAATTAATCTGTGCAAGACACCCAAAAGTATGAAAAAAAAAAATTACCACATGAAATATTAAGTTTAATGCAATAGAATAATTACAATAGCAATAATAAAAATAGAATAAACACAACAGAATAATTGACACTTACCTTTAATGAAGATCTGGTGATGATTGATGGGATGGGAGGACGGGAGAGTATGGATGGTGTTCGTGTTTAGAAGGGGAATCCCCTTCCATTACGACTTGAGGTAGCAAGTACTTTTCCGAGGCTACTTCCCTTCTTCTTTTAATGCCACTAGGACCAGTTTGAGAGTCACCGGACTTGTGTTGCACAACATATCTGTCCATAGAGGCCTTTACCTCCCGTTCCTTTATGACTTTCCTAAGGTGTTTCACAACATCGTCAGTGTAATAGTCACCAGCACGGCTTGCAGTAGCTGTGTCAGGGTGATTATCATCAAAAGAGGTTTGTACTTCAAGCAACTTTGCACACATTTCCTTAAATTCAATAGTCATTAGCACCCTTGGTCTCAATGGGTTGGCACTAGAAGCTTTCTTGGGGCCCATGGTGACTTATTTTGCAGAAACAAGCACCAGAAACAGTGATAATATGGATAATATGGAATGCACCGAATGTATCCTTAGATGCGCACACACTGGCTGGCTTGTAAACACTGGCACACATGGGGCAGTTCAAGCCACATGTGGACATGTCTTGTACGAATCGTATGCGTACCGGGTTTTGTTACGGGAACCGGGGCAATTTTTTGGCGATATAACACTTCGGATACCGGATTTGTCGGTTACCGGTGACTTCGCGAACCGGGGGTCCACTGTATATTCACCACTCGCTATAAGCTAAGGACAAAAATATTTTAAGGTGAGTAATGTGTGTACTGTATATGCATTTTCAGGCTTAAATCTATTGCTCACTAAATATATAATAGTGTAAACATGTTATCGGGCTTTTATATGCATTTAAAATTGAAAAAAGGCTGTGTTTCACTTCACAGTGATTTTTGTTGTACAGCAGTAACCTGGAACCCAACCTGCTGTATAAGCAGGAACCCAACCTGCTGTATAAGCAGGAACCCAACCTGCTGTATAAGCAGGAACCCAACCTGCTGTACAAGCAGGAACCCAACCTGCTGTATAAGCAGGAACCCAACCTGCTGTATAAGCAGGAACCCAACCTGCTGTATAAGCAGGAACCCAACCTGCTGTACAAGCAGGAACCCAACCTGCTGTATAAGCAGGAACCCAACCTGCTGTATAAGCAGGAACCCAACCTGCTGTATAAGCAGGAATCCAACCTGCTGTATAAGCAGGAACCCAACCTGCTGTATAAGCAGGAACCCAACCTGCTGTATAAGCAGGAACCCAACCTGCTGTATATGCAGGACCTGACTGTACCAAGATTCCATTGTATTGGAAATTAAAAATGAATGGTAAATATGTCTAGATATACACTAAAAGCAAGTAAAAACGCATCTCTAGAATTGTATCGTTACTTGCATGATGTTTATATGCTGATGACGGAAAAGAAATGAGTGAAAATTTTGGGAGTTCGGTATAAATCAACGTTCAAGGATCGTTGATTCATTACCTTTTGGATTCAGGATCGTTTTTCATTACCTTTTGCCACCCCTGTTAGGAACAATGTGACCCTATCTTTATGAATGAAGCATAACTATGACCCTTGTGGGTTTAGAGTTTCATTTCAATTGAATAATAACTGAACCATAACTGTGTTTACATATTATGCTAAAACTGACTCTGACATACTAGTGTACTGTATAGTTGGAATATAATATAACCTTATTTAACATTTCAGGATGATGAGTGTTTAAGCCATTGGTAGCCCTAGTGGAGGGTGGTGGCTGGTGCCACTAGAGGGCTATATGGACCAGTCTGCTCCAGAGTTAACTACTTGTGGCAGCCCCTCTGAGAGCAAGAATGGAAGTCCAGTGCACAAGAGAGCCAGGGAGCGCGTCCGTGGTCTGCCTCGGCTGCTGGCCATTAACGCTCTGGTGTGTGGGGTGGAGATAGTGTCCAGTGCTGCCTTTACATACATCCCTCCACTCCTGCTGAAGGCAGGATATACTGAGACTATCATGACAATCATCCTCGGCATTGGTGAGTTCAACATCCTCGTACTGAATGTAACTATAATTATCATTTATAATGTTATATTTTTATATATTTAACTACTAATAAATAATAATACATACTGTATTTTATATCCAAGAGACATAATTTTTACAAAATTGGATGATGTTTAACAATAAATGGAAATCCCTTGGTTAGGCATATCATTTCAAGTGTAGTACATATTATATGTATATACAGTGGTACCCCGAGTTTCGAACTTTCTTCGTTCCAGAAGGCTGTTCGAGTGCCATTACTGAACGAATTTGTTCCCATAAGGAATAACATAAATTAGATTAGTCCATTCTAGATCCTCAAAAATACACTTACAAAAGCACTTACAGTAATACACTTACATATTTGGTCGAGTTGGGAGCAGTTTGAAACTCGGGTTACCACTGTACTTTATCTTTACAATGGCTAGGAATTGAATCCAGTTCAGCTGCTTAGAAAGTACCTAAGCTCACCAGAGCATTATTTTTTTAATTTTAATGACTTTGCCATTCCCAAATTACAGTGGACCCCCGGTTTACAATATTATTTCATTCCAAAGTATGTTCAGGTGCCAGTACTGAACTAATTTGTTCCCATAAGGAATATTGTGAATTAGGTTAGTCCATTTCAGACCCCCAAACATACACGTACAAACGCACTTACATAAATACACTTACATAATTGGTCGCATTGGGAGCTGATCGTAAAGCGGGGGTCCACTGTATTTTAGCTTTATCATTCTTCTTGTATTTGGATTCAGAAGAAGGTCGATTAAGTCTTATTCTCTTTCCGTACCATCTTATTGGCTTGTTCATGGGATAACTGGCATTCTTGACACCACAGTGTCTTCTCTGTATTGTCTCTTACTTGTTGGTTAATATTATCCATCATAATCCATAGCATATTTAGTTTATAATATATCTCTAAACAGATGTACTAAACGCTGGTTAACCCTTAAGTGGTCCAAACGTATATATACGTTTTTTCAACATCTGAAAGTATGTAAAAAAATGTAGATTTTTTTTTATTTTACGTGTGAAAACGTGTAAAAAAACTTTTATCGACATTTTTTTTTTGTTTATTTGAAAATATGTAAAAAAAGTAGATCTACTTTTGTAGCATTACGAATTTGAACGTCGATCTGTTTGGACCGTTTAAGGGTTAATGGCAGAGATGAACTAAGGACTCCTTAATTATTACTACCGTATTTTATGGCATCGAAGACACTGTTTTATCCCCAAAATAATTCTCGAAAATTTACAGTGTCTCGGAGGAGAAGTACTGTTTATCTTTTTTTCCACAATTTAGCCAATCAGAATTGGGGTAGGGGTGTCCTCGACACCCCTACCCCAATTACAGTGGAATGTCAAAAATCGAACTGCTCCCAACACAACCAATTATGTAAGTGTATTTTTGTAAGTACTTTTATAAGTGTATTTTTAAGGGTCTGAAATGGACTAATCTAATTTACATTATTCCTGATGGGAATAAATTCATTCGGGAAAGGCACTCGAACAGACTTCTGGACCGAAGAAAGTTCGATATTTGAGGTTCCACTGTAGTAGGGGTGTCCTCGACACCCCTACTTGTTCGCCATAAAATATGGTAAATAGATGCATAGCAGTTAGTAGACTGTTAGGTTGTGTCCTCTCAGTCCAACCTTATTAGGTACAGTCAAATCTCTTATTAGCTATTCTATATAGTGCGATTTTTTTGCAAATGTAATTGAAACGGTGCATAGAAAATTGAGTAGCACATACCATGAAGGCATTTTCAATTGCATTTACAAACAAATTGCACTTTATAGAAGGGCTTAAGAAGAGCTGACTGATGTTCTAATAATACTACTGTATTCTGTACTAAATTCTGTGCCAGTACAACTCATTATGAGTCAATAAATGCCATGATTTACATTACTGGGGTGTATAAAACAAAAATATTGTAACTAAAATAACTTTTATTTCTTATAAGCATAGAAGTTACAATAGTTTAACAGTTATTTTAACCCTTAAATGGTCCAAACGTATATATACGTTCACGCGCGTAGCGCCCCAAACGTATATATACGTTTTCTTTGTCATTCATTCAACATTGCCACGATAAGCCTGAGTCACCTAAACATGAGAGAATGAGTGTGCGCACTCACTGTGCGCCATATTAAAATAATTGGGCATGCCTGGGTTTACCTGGAGTTTACCTGGAGAGAGTTCCGGGGGTCATATGATCTTTTTTCCTTTTAAAAGAAAAGATTTTTTTTTTCCTAAAAAAATTTGGGGCGCTACGCGAGTGAACGTATATATACGTTTGGACCGTTTAAGGGTTAATTGCAATTTTGATACAATTTTAATGCATACTACCTAATATATATGGACAGTATAATGGTAAAATGTCAAACCCATATATAATGTCATGCTAAAATCCTCATTATCTGTAATTATAATCCAACCTGTAATCATAATCCAACCTGTAATTATAATCCAACCTGTAATTATAATCCAATCTGTAATTATAATCCAACCTGTAATTATAATCCAACCTGTAATTATAATCCAACCTGTAATTATAATCCAACCTGTAATTATAATCCAACCTGTAATTATAATCCAACCTGTAATCATAATCCAACCTGTCATCATAATCCAACCAGTAATCCTTAAAACAAAGTCAATAAAAGTGTTTATTGTTACAACCACTTATATACAAGCAGTATATACAAGCAATATATACAAGCAATATATACAAGTATGTAATATATACAGGCAATCGGTTATTGTTGTATTAATTTTATACAGGCTTAAGTGTGCCCAGAATGCTCTACATACAAAGGGTCTTTCTGCCTGCACACTTAAATGTCGCCCACCTCTGTGCAAACATCGTATCATGCTGAAATCGAGAATTTTTAACCTTTAATTATCAACGTACTGTTTGGAGTACTATCATGGGAAGCCACAGTGCTTGGCCTTCCCCTCAAGGGAGATTCCTTGATATTTGTGAGGGACTCTTGATTAAAGGAATTAGATCTCATCTCTGCTTCCTTGGGTCGTGCCTGATTGGCTTTATTCCCTTCTGTATGATTCCTGTACGTTTAATGCTCTTTTCTCTTCCCTCATGAATGTAATAATGATGATGTGTTTAATCCAACTACCTTCCTGGACATAGTGACGGTGCTTCTGTTTGCTGAGTGAAGCATCAGATGAACCTCTGTGCTGGGACGACCACAATCTTTCATCATTTTACTCTCTACCCTCTTCTCTCCTTCCATAGCTCCCTCATCTTTGGATATACGGTGGTACCTCGGGATACGAACTTTTTTCATTCCAGAGGGCTGTTCGAGTGCTGATACCGAACGAATTTGTTCCCATAAGAAATAATGTAAATTAAATTAATCCATTTCAGACCCCAAAAGTACGCTTACAAAAGCACTTACGTAAATACACTTACATAATTGTTCGCGTTTTGAGCTGTTTGTGTCCCAAGGTACCACTGTACTTTGATATGCAGGATCTTCGATGGGTATTCAGAGTTTTCCTACTTGCAGCTCAGCCCTGGGCCAGGCTTATCTGGTGCTTACCTGGTCAACTAGGCTGTTGCTGGTGGTGGCCAACTGGCTCATACAGCCTGATTGATCTGGCACCTGATGGAGGTACTTGTTTAGTTTCCTCTTCAAGACTTGTACACATTTCCCATCAGTGTTTCTGATATCATCTATCAAGATGTACATTCTGGGACCACAGATGCTGATACAGTATTCTGTTATTATATCCATGGTGCCCCTGCTTTTCACTGGGTAACTTTTACGTTTGAGAAATGTTAAATAACCTCTCACTCCAGTATGTTGTTATGGCATTGTACAGATTTCAGACCAGGTCCTTGAATACCTCCCATGTGCATTATGTATTGTGTAATCACATACAGTGGTACCTTGGGATACAAACTTAATTCGTTCCAGAAAGCTGTTCGAGTGCCAATACTGAACGAATTTGTTCCCATAAGGATTAATGTAAATTAGATTAATCTGTTTCACACCCCTAAAAATACACTACATAATTTTTTTAAATTAGGAGCTGTTTGTATGCCGAGGTACCACTGTATCTCCTCGGCTCCTAAGATTACGTAATTATGACTTTTAGGAAATCCCATTGATTCACATGTTGTATTGGCCCTGCAGGCCGTGAATGATCTCTATCTCTTCCAGCTCAGATTCCACATATTAATAGAAGTGGGAAGTACAGTGCCTGTGCTCTAAAGGAGATGTTTGAGATATTTGCTGTTTGGAGGGACATCTAAACTGTCATAAGATAAGATAAGATTTCATTCGGATTTTTAACCCTGGAGGGTTAGCCACCCAGAATAACCCAAGAAAGTCAGTGCGTCATCGAGGACTGTCTAACTTATTTCCATTGGGGTCCTCAATCTTGTCCCCCAGGATGCAACCCACACCAGTCGACTAACACCCAGGTACCTATTTGCTGCTAGGTGAACAGGACAACAGGTGTAAGGAAACAGGTCGAAATGTTTCCACCCGCCGGGAATCGAACCTGGGCCCTCCGTGTGTGAAGTGGGAGCTTTAGCCACCAGACAGTGATAGTGTGAATGATGGTAAAAGTGTTACTTTTTCGGGTCACCCTGCCTTGGTGGGAGACTGCCAGAATGCTAAACTAAAATGTAAATATGCAAGGTAAAAGGACACAAGTGCAACTAAGAACATAAGAACATAAGAAAGGAGGAACACTGCAGCAGGCCTGTTGGCCCATACTAGGCAGGTCCTTTACAATTCATCCCACTACCAAAACATTTGCCCAACCCAATTTTCAATGCTACCCAAGAAATAAGCTCTGATATGCAAGTCCCACTCAAATCCAACCACTCTCACTCATAAGAACAGCATTCTGTTGTGGCAACATTTGACAGAGCTCCTAAAGAGCAAAATGTTGCCACAATAAAATGTTTCATTAGTTGCACTTGTGTCCTTTTACATAACATATTATCGGTAGTTCTTCCAACATTATTACAAAATAAAAATAGACAAATTCATGAATATGATGGCAGTAAAAATACCCAAGTGTTGTACGTGCATCTTATTCCTCAGCTCCCTTCCTGGACATGATGACGGTGCCTTTGCTTGCCGAGTGGAGTGACAGGTGTACCTCTATGCTGGGACGACGACGACCCTTCATCATGTTCCTATCCACCGTCCTACTTCTCTCTCTCATTCTCATCCCATATGGATCCACCATCACTACTATTGTTTTAGGAAATAATTCACCTAGAGTGAAGTAAGTGACAGAGAAAGAAATTTGTCTTTGAATTAGAAATATATAGAGCCTCTCCTCAGCGACGTACTCATTTACCGACAACTCGGACTTACGACAAGCTCTCAGACCAGTATGCATTCTCCTACGTATGGACTGATGAAGCCACTGTGTAATGTACGTATATTAGAGTTGATTTCCTCTATTCTGTTTATTATAATATACAGTACTGTATAAACATTTAAAAATACACCTACCATCCGACTTACGACTGAGTTCAGTTCCGAGAAACCGGTCGTAAGTCGAAATGGTCGTAAGTCGAACTTTACTACTGAATATCAACATCACATTTTTGTAATGACTTTATTTTATTGTTTTATTTTGGTATTTCCTGTTTTACTTTACTTTTTATGTTGTTAGTAATGTATTTTATACTGTAAGGTTTAGGATAAACACTGTGTACAACACAAATACTGGTTTATTTCCCAGAAATTTGGCATAAAAAACACGGTCGTAAGTCGAGTGGTCGTAAGTCAAGCAGGTCGTAAGTCGGATGGTAGATGTATACCAGAAATGTTATAAATGGTGCAAAGGTGACATTAAGACAATATCAAAGATGTTTGACACAAACTCACTACCAGTATACATACAGTGGTACCTTGGGATACGAGCTTATTTTGTTCCAGAAGGCTGCTCGAGTGCTGATACCAAACAAATTTGTTCCCATAAGGAATAATGTAAATTAGATTAATCCATTTCAGATGTCCAAAAATACACTTACAAAAGCACTTACATAAATGCACTTATATAATTGTTAGCATTTTGAGGTGTCCATATCCCAAGATACCACTGTTATGTGCTCCTCACTTAGTGACGAGTTTGTTTACTGACGTGGTCTTGGGAACGGAACTCCGTCGTTAACCCCTTCAGGGTCCAAGGCGCAAATCTAAAGTGGTGTCCCAGTGTCCAAGAATTTAAAAAAAAAAATTTATTTTTTCTTATGAAATGATAGAGAATCTTTGTGTGAAGGTAATAAAACAAAAAGTATGAAATTTGATGGAAAATTGACGAAATTATGCTCTCGCGAATTTTGATGTGTGAGCGATATTTGCGAATCGGCGATTTTGCCGACTTTGACTCCCATTTTAGGCCAATCACATTATTCCAGTCAACCAAATTCTTAGCTATTTCACTACTATTACTTCTATTCTATCGATTGAGCACAAGAAATCGCCAAGTCAACTGTTTCAACTACAAATTAAAGTGATCGGAAATTGTTAATTTGGCCAATTTAACACAAAGTTCAAAATATTCCAATTTCAAAATAGGGTCCAGAATAAACAATGTAAGTATTCCTGGCACTAAACTAACATTTCCTCGGTTCATTAGTTATGTTTTGAGGCTTTACAAATAAATTTCATTTTGATTTTTTATTCACATAATGAATTTTTATTCACACCAAAAAATAGAAGATTTACTGTTATGCAATACTGTAATAATTGTATAAATATCATTACCATATTTGTGAATGTATATTAGACCCACCAGCTGACGTGTATTAGACGTGTGAGGTCGTTTGTTTACTCTTGAACATCGTCAAAAATTTAACATTTCCGCCACTTTGAGCTCAGTTTCAAGCCATTTCCAGTGCTAAAACCAATCAAAATCATCTCTATTTCTGTAATATGTCTTCCATTCTATCAAATGAGACCAAGAAATCGCAAATACAACTATAAAAAACATATGAAAAAACACTGCAAAGTTGCTGTTTTAATCGAAAAATCATGATTTCAGTTTTTTTCTCTCATTATACACAGTGTGCTGCAGGATATGTTTTATGTGGTGCACACATACCACATAGATGTATTCTCTCATATCTAGGCCCAAATGTACCACTCACAGTTTATCAGAGTGAGCTGAACTCATGACATAGATCTACTGCTTGGACCCTGAACGTAAAGCCGTAGATCTACGGGACGGACCCTGAAAGGGTTAAGTGAGGAGAGGCTGTATACGTATTTTGAACATTTGAATGTTTAGGGTTATGGAGTAGCAATATTTCTGCCATGATCCAAACCATATTCATTGTGCAGAATGAACCTTATGGGTTTAGGGTTCTTTATAAATACAGTAATACTGCTAATAATAATAGATGTGCAAAAACCTTCAAAGCTTTAAAGACGATAGTGTGATCCATCTTATACGATTATTCAGTAGTTATATATTGATAAATTAGACACATGTGCAACTCTTGGGTATCTTTATTGAGGAAACGTTTTGCCACACAGTGGCTTCATCAGTCCATACGTAGGAGAAACTTGAAGAATAGGAGGAGAATGAGGTAATCAGTCCCTCAACCTTGAGTCGATGTGTTCAGTCCATCGACTCAAGGTTGAGGACTGATTACCTCATTCTCCTCCTATTCTTCAAGTTTCTCCTACGTATGGACTGATGAAGCCACTGTGTGGTGAAACGTTTCCTCAATAAAGATACCCAAGAGTTGCACATGTGTCTAATTTATCAACCTTGTCAGTTCTCTGAACCATTCATCTACAAACCTGTTAGATTTTAATGAAAATTAAACTTCTTGTTATGCATTTCTATCGACTACATTTTTTTTTTATTGTATTACTGTATTGACTGTATTATTATTATTATTATTGTTATTGAGCACTTGCCCCTCAGGGAAGGTTCCTGATGCTGGTGAGGGGCTCTTGATCTGGGGAATTGGATCTGTGCTCCAGTTTTATGAATTAAGCCTGAATATCTTCCACATTTCCCCCACAGGCGCTGTATAATCCTACAGGTTTAGTGCTTCCCCCTTTATAATAATAATATTGAGCACTGGTCAGTGCTCAATAATAACCCACATGGACACAAAAACACAGGTGGGTGATTGATATGTATATTTCGATCCCCTGCTGAGATCCTTTTTGGCAGGTCTGCTGAAAAGGACCCCAGAAGGAGGTCAAAACATACAGATCAGTCAACCTCCTGTGTTTGTCTCCTTGTGGGGTTATTATTGATCATGCATTTTAATGTTATAATCACATCTTTGTTTCAGCATGGTTATTTTGGCCGTTGGAGTAATACTTCTAGATTACAGTTATCAAGCGCTTTTCAACCCTTGTGAATCTCTCTTGTCTGATCTGATGGCCACCGCACCAGAGTGGGAACAAACACGGGGCTTTACTGTTTACTCTGCTGGTATATCCCTAGGCTGCATCTTAGGATATCTCATTGTATCAATTGACTGGTCGTCAGCGGGGTTTCCAGCCGGCTCTCAAGAACAAACTTCATTCTCAGTTATTTTCATCATGTTTTTACCATGCTTGTTTCTTACACTATTTTGTGCTAAGGAAAAGCCTTACCGTCGGACTACAAATTTTTCACTTCAGTCTACTGAAGGGAATATTGTGCTTGGAAACGATATGACAGTTGAAAAAAATGTTTTATTGAGGAAATGTGATTCGGCAGTTATTATTCAAGATGGATTGACAGTTCTAGACATGTCTAGTGATAGCACAACATTCATGAAGGACCATCCTTCAGATGGAGGCTATGAGAGTGGGTCTAGCGAAACGGAAGACACCGCGCCACTCATTCTCCCTTCCTCTGAGATGCTCAAGTGGAGGTACCATCGACTCGTTCATCAAATCAACCGCTTGCCTAAAATAACTTTACAAAAGCTCTTTAATCGTCTGTTTCGTTTGATATGGAAACTAGTAAAACTTTTAGTTTATTTACCGTATCAGGTGAGTATAATGTTATCATATTTATGTAATATGTTGTCTGTGGTTGATATTATATTTATTACAATCATAGCTAAGCGCTGAACCCACAAGGGTCACACAGTGCCATCAGTGTCGATAAAAAAGAATAATAGATTTATATAATAATCATTTGCTAATTTATGTCAGAATGAAATTGATTCAGTATATATTTTTACATATACGATAATTTTACCATGCCTTTAAATTATAAATTAATGTATTGATGATGTACCCCAGATAATTAGATTACCACTGGAAACATGGAGAAGAGTGACCGGCGCTCCAACTGTACTGCGACGTCTCTTCTTATCAGAGCTGTTTGGTTGGATGGGGTTTATGTGCCACAATATGTTCTTCACTGATTTTGTTGGACAGTATATGTATGGAGGTTTGCCCGATGCCCCTGAGCACACTGCATTGGCAGTCTTATACGACGAAGGAGTGAGGATGGGATCATGGGGGCTTTTTCTCCATAGCCTTACTGGTGAGTTGCAATTTGGTTGGCAGTGTTTCATTGCATTGGTAGAGAATCTTTTTCTGAAGGTAATGACACCAAAAGTATGAAATTTAATGGAAAACTTAAGGAATTATGCAAGTGTAATGTTAGTGGTCTAGGCGCAATTTATGCATAGAGGATTTCACCCGCTTTGAGTCCTATTTTAAGCCAATTCCATTCCTCCATTTGAACAAATTCTTAGCTACAGTATTTTGCTAGTATGTCTTCCGTTCTACTGACTGAGCAGAAGAAACTGTCCATTCAACTATCAGAACTACAATATAAAGTGCACAGAAATCACTAAATTGGTTAGTTTTACACAAATATTATATTACTTTTTATTAAGACACCGGCAGTCTCTCACCAAGGTAGGGTGGCCCAAAAAAGAAAAACTTTCATCTTTACTCCATCACTCTCTTGCCAGAAGCACGCTTACCTGGAGTTTACCTGGAGAGAGTTCCGGGGGTCAATGCCCCCGCGACCAGGTCTGTGACCAGTTTTAAAACTGCAACATTAACACCCCTCCTTGAGAGTGCAGACACTGTACTTCCCATCTCCAGGACTCAAGTCTGGCCTAATGTAAATAATGAAGACATTTGAGGCACTACAACAACACTTCCTCTATTCATTACTTACATCCCGAGGCCTCGCCTATACATGTATTACACTCGCATTCCACTTTGAATTTATCATCACACAGAAAATCGAAGCTTTGCCTTATTTCTTTGGTAATGAAACATAACCAGGAATGATTGGTCATGGTTTACAGCATTCCAATAATTGAATTACACCTATTAAACTCGTAAAATAGACTTTAACCCTTAAACGGTCCAAATAGATCAGTGTTCAAATCCATAGTGCTCCAAAAGTAGATCTGTTTTTTTACACATTTTCAAATGTAAAAAAAAAAAAAGGATGATGTACAGTTTTTTACATACGTACTTTCAAAAGTTGAAAAAATTGTATACTATATGCGTTTGGACCGTTTAAGGGTTAAGTGTAGGGAAGCCTTACCCGTCCTCAAGAAAATCAGCAAAAATCAAATATTTCTGCTACTTTGAACCCAATTTCAAGCTACTTCCAGTTCTGAAACCATTCAAAATCATCTCTTTCAGTAGTATATCATTCATTCTTTGAAATGATACCAAGAAACAGCTTATAAAGCCATAGAAACCATCCTAGAAAACATTGCAATGTTCCTATTTGAAACCCAGCACAAGGGCAGAGTATTGCTCTTCCCATCATACACTGTGTAGGGCAGGATTTTTTTTATACTGTGAACACTCACCCTCACAGACCTGTTCTCTCATATCTAGGCCAAAATTTACTGCTCACTGTTTATCTGAGGGAGCTGTACTCAAAATGTAGGTCTACGAGACTGCTACTGAAAGAGCTAAGATGGAAATTAGAGAATTCATAAGGAAAGTCAGAGAGATAAAAGATATGAGTAATGGAAAGAGATACAAGAAAATTTATAACTTTTAAAGAAAGGAATTAACAAAATTGAACGTATTTGTAGAAGGGGTTGTAAAAGAGGCAAATGCTAGGGCGTTGAGGCTAGGTGTGATTGAAGGGATGAAGTAAGTGTGTTCGGATATCTGGGAGTGACTTATGACACATGGGTCTGAAAGACAAAGTGAACTGTATAATAGATGAGGGGATAAGGTGGGTGGTGTGCTGAGGCATCTGTGGGAAGTAGTTTGAGGCACAACACCAATGCACTGGAGTATAGTTGTACCAGTACTTTTATATGGTTGTGAGTCTTGGATTTTAAATGCTGCAATGAGAAGGTGACTAGAGGTAGTGGAGATGTGTTTGAGAGTAGTGTGTGGTGTGAATACCATGCAGAAAATTAGGAATGTAAAAATTAAAAGATGATGTGGGGTCACCGAGGGTATAATTCAGAAGGCTGAAGGGAGGATTGTCAAGATGATTTGGGTATGTAGAGAGGATGAATAGATAGGATGAGAAAGGGTGTTTAAACCTGGGGTGGAAAGCAGGAGGAGTAGACTTCACCCCAAGATTGGTTTGAGGGAGGGGATTAAAGAAGGCTTTGAATTTTAAGGGCTTGAACATCCAGCAGTCTTGTGTGAGTATTAGATTGGAGTGATTGGAGATTAGATGGTTTTAATGGACATTCCATTAAGAGTGTGAGCAAGGTAACATTTTGAAGGGATTCAGGAGAAAACCGGTTAGCCAGACTTGAGTTCTGGAGGTGGGAAGTGCGGTGCCTGTGCTCCAGAGGGATGGAGCACAGGGATTGTACTTAATATACTTATGGGGAGCACTAAACACACAGGGGTCATGAAGTACCTAGGGAAATGGAAGGCATTCATCTTTGATCCAAGGAAGTTGACACATCCAGTTCCGTGGATAACAAGCCTCTTTTAGGGTTTTAAAGTACGTGTTGCTGGTTCATTTACTTAGTAAAAAATAATAATTGGACAAACATTGTTATGAAAAGGGCCAGATTTGATCAGTACCTGTGGTACTGTAGCAAATTCTTGGGTAACTTTGGGGAAAGATTGAACAAATATATGGGTGACCTTGATAAGGACCTGCCTTGTATGGAAGTTTTACTCCATGTATTTATGATTGTGCAATATTTTTAATAACAAATAATAATTATATTGTTTCAGCATGTCTGTATGCCTTTTGTATTCAACAACACATCGTACGTTTGGTGGGTCACCGCACAGTGTTCATCGGAGGTCTGTTCATCTTCACCGTGACCATGGCTGCGACTATTGTCTCTCCAACAGTAACATTTCTTAATGTTGTAACAGCTTTATCAGGAGTTGGGTTTGCTGCTCTTACTTCCACACCCAACATGCTAGTGACACTTTACAATTCTGATAGACAGGCAAGTATAATTATATTAATTTTTCACTAGATACTCCTGCCATCATGAAGTCTTATTTCACTTTTGTGAATTATGCCGTATTTCGCTGCTTATAAGACTTGTTTTACTTTCAATGGCTCGGCATTGGACGTAATTGGGAGAGCTGCAGCTCACCCCACACCCCAAACTTATAGCTCCTGTCACTGACCTTCAGTTTATAGGATGCAGGGTGGTTTTTGGAGACATTTTATGGAACAAAAATGCGTCTAATAAGCCGCAAAGTACGGTACTTAATTTGAGATATTCCTGTTTTTAGAATAACTTATTATTGGCAGGCCCGGTGGCCTGGTGGCTAAAGCTCCTGCTTCACACGCGGAGGGCCCGGGTTCGATTCCCGGCGGGTGGAAACATTTCGACACGTTTCCTTACACCTGTTGTCCTGTTCACCTAGCAGCAAATAGGTACCTGGGTGTTAGTCGACTGGTGTGGGTCGCATCCTGGGGGACAAGATTAAGGACCCCAATGGAAATAAGTTAGACAGTCCTCGATGATGCACTGACTTTCTTGGGTTATCCTGGGTGGCTAACCCTCCGGGGTTAAAAATCCGAACGAAATCTCTCTTCAAAACTGGTTGTCACTACAGTACTTTACTAGGTAATTTTTCTTCTGTGATTTAAGATTATTACTACAATCCAAACTAATTGATAAACCCACAAGGGTCATACAGCATTGCAAGGTGGGATGTGTTAAATATGAAATATATGAGGATCAGAGACCACCGAGGATGAGGAATATGCAAGAAGTACAATCAGTAAGAATAAGATAATTCTGGACAGTTTATACCAGTCTTGAGCTGAGGTGGTAAATACAGGGACTACATTCTAAAGAAGGGGTGCAAACGGTTCCGAGGGTCAGTCCCCTCAAGGGAGGTTCCTTGATGCTGGTGAGGGGCTCTTGATCTAGGGAATTGGATTTGTTCTCCAGTTCCCTGAATTGAGCCTGAATACCTTCCACCCACCCCCTTCCTCCCACAGGCACTACAATCCCTACAGGTTTAGCTCCCCCAATATAATAATCGGAGGGTCATTTAAATTGGGATGTTTGTTTACTCCTAGCTAGACAGCTATTGAGTGATGGTCAGTTTGTTTTCTTTTTTATATCTACATGACAGGGTAACCCATGTAGATATTTTCAGAATTTTTGTCGTGATGCCTTTCATATACACCTACCATCTGACTTACGACCGAGTTCGGTTCCGAGAAACCGGTCGTAAGTCGAACTTTACTACTGAATATCAACAAAACATTTTTGTAATGACTTTATTTTATTGTTTTATTTTGGTATTTCATGTTTTACTTTACTTTTTATGCTGTTAGTACTGTATTTTATACTGTAAGGTTTAGGATAAACACTGTGTACAACACAAATACTGGTTTATTTCCCAGAAATTTGGCATAAAAAACACGGTCGTAAGTCGAGTGGTCGTAAGTCGAGCAGGTCGTAAGTCGGATGGTAGGTGTATTTTATTTACGATACAAAAAATGAGCAACCTCTCAGGAATGTCTAATGACTGTTCTCTATTTCACAGCTGTACCTGTGGGATGCCAGCCACTCAGGAAGGGGGAGAGGAACGAGGACTCGGCACTGATGTAGCTGTATTGGACACTGCCTACTTTCTCTCCCAGATAGTGTTGTCAATATGCATGGGGCCTTTGGTAGATTTGACTGGTTCTGCACTTCCATACATGATAGTGGCAACGTTAACTGGAATAGTATCAGTGTATTGCAGTTCACGTGTGGTCTTCACCGACTGTCACTTAAATCAACTCAGGGCTGGAGCCTTTTAATGGGCTGACCTTTGTGGCCTTACAGCTTTTGTGATTAATTCAAGTGTTTTTGAACTTCAGTATAATTACTATTGTGTCAATTTCTTCCAGGTAGGATATGTTTCATTTTTTTTTTTTTAACAAGTTGGCCGTCTCCCACCGAGGCAGGGTGACCCAAAAAGAAAGAAAATCCCCAAAAAGAAAATACTTTCATCATCATTCAACTCTCACCTCACTCACACATAATTACTGTTTTTGCAGAGGTGCTCAGAACACAACAGCTTAGAAGCATATACGTATAAAGATACACAACATATCCCTCCAAACTGTCAATATCCCGAACCCCTCCTTTAGAGTGCAGTCATTGTACTTCCCATTTCCAGGACTCAAGTCCGGCTATATAAAAATAACCGGTTTCCCTGAATCCCTTCACTAAATATTACCCTGCTCACACTCCAACAGATCGTCAGGTCCCAAATACCATTCATCTCCATTCACACCTATCGAACACGCTCATGCACACCTGCTGGAAGTGCAAGCCCCTCGCCCAGAAAACCTCCCTTACCCCTTCCTTCCAACCTTTTCAAGGACGAGGGATAAACCTACAAGCCAAAAGTGTGGAAGAATGTAGTCTGTATGTTATGACAGCTGAGGTCCTCTTCAGCAGTTACAGAGGAATGGGTCAGGAGAGTGTAGGCAGAGCTTTTTGGGTCCTCAGGATGCACGATGCCATTGCATAATTAACTGCTCTTTCAGGGACATGGTATAAATGTGACCTCTTGTATTAGCTTGTCCTGAAATGGAGGTGTGAGAGTTTTGGGGATAATATGCTGTGAATATAAGGAAAAAGGAATTGAGGAGTTGCTGCAATAAACCTAATTCACGAGATCATAATGACACGATTGCAAACAAACCATACCACGGGCGGGGATAGAACCAGTGATCAGAGAGTCGTACAACTCCAGAAGCATCGGTCTAGAGTTTTATGACTCTGATTGCAGGTTCTATCCCCACCTATGGTATGGTTTGCAATAAGCCTGCTGTTCCATGAATAACTAAAGTGTAATGAACACTTGTCAATGTTCAATAATAGCCCACATCAAGATAGAAACTCAGGAGATTGATTGATCTGTATATTTCAACTCTCTTCTGAGATCCTCTTCAGCTGTTCCGTGCTCAAATGACCCTGTCCTCCTCAGTCTAACTAGCAAACTTGTTTAAAGGTGTTATTGTGAGAATGTCTGGGTTGTTGTGTGACTGCCTAACTAAATTCTGCTGAGAAGTGCGTGTTGGTGTATGTTTGATTATCACATCTGATTTTAAATTTCCTCTTGAAGCGTTTGGTATAGCTTATAGTGTTGCCTCGGTAAATGGTAATATCATTCACAAGATAAAGACCCATACACACATACATTCAAAGTGACACTAAATGAAGCCTTATTGACTTTAACATTATCAAAAGAAAATTTCAGATCAGATGTGTTAACCAGATGTACAATAAAAACCTTCTTCAGCACAGTATTTAGTCAAGCGGTCATGCAATGACCCTGACACCAGCAGAACAGTGGGGTGTTATGTTAACCCATGGTGAAGAATGATAAAACACAGGCCATGGTGTAAGTCGACTGGGCACACTTGCTAAATAGATAATACCCAACTTGTCAAAAAATATACTTTAACAAGCGCTATTTGACAGGGTGAGGATGACAGGGTCACCTCAGCATGGTACAGCAGCCAATTTCAGTGCTTTTCATTTCCTTTCATTTCATTTCATTTCATTCATTTCATTTCCTGTTTTATAATAATAATAATATAATATCTTTATTTCTACAAGTACATGTACAAGGTATACAGACCATAGCTGACATCAATGACATACTACTATATAGAAAGTCGCTTGTTATGCTGAGCATTTCCCGCAAATTAGGTCAGTTTTGTCCCAGGATGTGACCCACACCAGTCATCTAACACCCAGGATGTGACTCACACCAGTCATCTAACACCCAGGATGTGACCCACACCAGTCATCTAACACCCAGGATGTGACCCACACCAGTCATCTAACACCCAGGATGTGACCCACACCAGTCATCTAACACCCAGGATGTGACCCACACCAGTCATCTAACACCCAGGATGTGACCCACACCAGTCATCTAACACCCAGGTACCCATTTTATACTGGTGGGTGAACAGGGACAACAGGTATCTTGCAAAATGCATCCTAAAGATTTCCCAGCCGCTACCGAGGCTGTGCGAAACATCTGACCCTCAGTGTTGCGAGCTGAGTGCACTCTAACGAGTAGACTTAGACACTAGTAGGTTTAAGCATTGTATTTGATCATAATAATAAAGAGCAAACTTGTTTAAGCGGTGTTGACAGTGTCTGGGTTACAGTGTGAGTCTATCCATATAAAGACAAGCTAACTATACGAGGTCATTGCTATCACGACTGTAAAAGGTTTACACAATTACAACAGTCATTGAGCACCAGGAAATGTGACAGCTCATCATCCACTCCTCTTGGCCCCCTATAAACACCGGTGTTTCTCTCTTATTCCGTTGTAACTGAATGGAGGACCTCATACACAAAACCCGCATATAAAACAGTCAACTAACACCACGTGTTACCCACACCTTCATTTCAAGCCAGATGGACCCACACAGTCACTAACACCCAGGATGTGACCACCCAGTCATCTAACAACCCAGGTGTGCCCACACCGTCATCTAACACCCAGGATGTGACCCACACCAGTCACTCTAACACCCAGGATGTGACCCACCAGTCATCTAACACCCAGGATTGACCCACACCAGTCATCTAACACCCAGGATGTGACCCACCAGTCATCTAACACCCCGGGTGTGACCCACACAGTCATCTAACACCCAGGATGTGACCCCCACCCGTCATCTAACACCAGGATGTGACCCACACCAGTCATCTAACACCAGGATGTGACCCCACCCGTCATCTAAACACCCAGGATGTGACCCACACCAGTCATCTAACACCCAGGATGTGACTCACACCAGTCATCTAACACCCAGGATGTGACCCACACCAGTCATCTAACACCCAGGATGTGACTCACACCAGTCATCTAACACCCAGGATGTGACCCACACCAGTCATCTAACACCCAGGATGTGACCCACACCAGTCATCTAACACCCAGGTACCCATTTTATACTGGTGGGTGAACAGGGACAACAGGTATCTTGCAGAAATGCATCCCTAAAGTTTTCCAGCCGTACTGGAGGAGCTTCGAACTCTGGACCTCAGTGTGCGAGTTGAGTGCACTCTAATGAGTAGACTTATGACACTAGTAGGTTTAGCATTTTGTTTTGATCATAATAATAATGAGCAAACTTGTTTAAGGGTGTGTTGTGAGTGTGTCTGGGTTATTGTGTGAGTTCTTCCATATAAAGACAAGCTAATATGAGAGGTCATTGCATATTCATATCTGTAAAAGGTTTAGCTAATTATAAATGTCATTGAGCACCAGAGGAAATGTGAAGCTCATCTTCCACTCTCTTGGCTCTTATAAACACCTGGTTTCTCTCTTATTCCTTTGTAACTGATAATGAGGACCTCATACACAAATAACCCGCATATAAAAGAGAGAAGCTTACGACGACGTTTCGGTCCGACTTGGACTTTGTCAATGGTCCAAGTCGGACCGAAACGTCGCCGCAAGCTTCTCTCTTTTATATGCGGGTTATTTGTATATCGTTCCAGTCACGGTATTGTGCCTTTTTTTGTTATTAATGAGGACCTCGGCTAGAGCTCAAGAGAGACTACCATTCTTGTTCATTTTTGTCTTATGTAAGTTTTTCCTCAATGGTGTTTAAGTACACTTTGTTACACCAACATTTATATATACAGTATATATAATGAAAGCAGAAGGTATATTGGTACTACTACATACACTTACGACTTTAGTGGATATGTTTCAGTACTGGGACCTTGGTCGCTCCAAATGATGCAAGAGAATGAGAAAATATATGTATAGGGAAGAATATAGGTCATAGGTGATACAGGTGAAAGTGTTAGGTCATCTGATTGCCATGTTACATGTTACATGGTGTTGAAAGTAATTAATTTTGTTTCAGTACAGTGGAACCTGTCAGACTCTTCTCTCTAGATAATTTCTGCATTGTTCCAGTGCATGAAGATGTCCCTTGTTAAATCTGTGTATAGCATGAATGTTGCTGGTGTCGTCCCAATCTGTGTGCAACATGAACATTGCTAGTGTCGTCCCAGTTACACACATATTTGTGCTCTTGAACCTGTGTGGCAGAATTCCTCCCTGTTTCTTCTACGTAGATCTTGTTGAAGCTACTGTATGGTATACACTTATGTTTCACTGTTGAGTATTATAGGAATCTTTCTTCCTAGTGAGGCCTTGATGGAAGATGTGGCCACAGCAGCGACATGGCCTGAGTGGTATTGGTTACTTCTCCAAGTAGAACCAAGAATCTGGGTTTCTTGGTAGTGGTGTTGGTAGTGTTGTCTGAGCTATACATTTGCAGTCTTTAACCCGTAAACGGTCCAAGCAGATCTACGTTCACATGTGTAGTGCTACAAAAGTAGATCTACGTTTTTTTACACATTTTCAAATGTAAAAAAAACAAAAAGATCTACTTTTTTTACATACTTTCAGATGTTGAAAAAACGTATATATACGTTTGGACCGTTTACGGGTTAAAAAGTAGGGAGGGGTGTGTAAGAATGTGAAGACGTTGGTAATATATTGGAATTCTAAGAATTCAGGACTCAAGATATGGATAACTCATAGGAAAACTTAAAAAGAAGTATAATCACTGGGTTTTTCCAAAGAGTTATCCAACTCTCCAGTCTTGAATTCTGAGAATTCCAGTATCTTACCCATATGAAGGGGTTCAGGGAGAGTGGCAGGCCGGACTTGAGTCCTGGAGATGGGAAGTACAGTGCCTGCACTCTGAAGGAGGGGTGTTAATGTTGCAGTTTAAAAACTGTAGTGTAAAGCACCCTTCTGGCAAGACAGTGATGGAGTGAATGATGGTGAAAGTTTTTCTTTTTCGGGCCACCCTGCCTTGGTGGGAATCGGCCAGTGTGATAATAAAAAAAAATAATAATACCCATACGTGCACATATTTATACTTTCCTACCTACTTCATACAAGATAGCAAATGCAAAATTAGGACTATATTCTCAGTTCTACCAGCACTACTGAGAAACCCAGTTTCTTGAGTCTACCCAGAAGAGAAGTGGCCAGTACCATGCATGCAGGCACTTTCCAAAAGTAACCTTACCAAGAAATATCCATATGACACACCCAACAGTGAAGCAGGAGTATACACTGTACCATCCAAAGGATGTGACAAGACCTATGTAAAAGACAGGCATCATTCCACATTCCAGAATTTTTTTTTATTATTATTATCACACTGGCCGATTCCCACCAAGGCAGGGTTGCCCGAAAAAGAAAAACTTTCACCATCATTCACTCCACCATGCAAGTAAATGTGATAACACCGGTAATGTTAATGCTTCACACAGGTTTAAAGAAGGCCATCGCATGCACTGGAGGAACACAAAAATTATCCATGGAGAGTCAGACACTCATGCTTTACTGTATCGAAGAAAAATTGCTACCTCCTCCACCACAGAACAAAAGACTGACAAATGCATCTCGACTACTCTTGTGCAAATGATATTGCTCCACGCTGTTTCCTGGCTGCCATGAGACTTGGAAGTTAGATATTATTATTATAATCATGGGGGAGCACTAAACCTGTAGGATTATACAGTGCATGTGGAGGGGGGGGATGGAAGGTATTCAGGCTCAATTCAGGGAACGGGAGCACAGATTCAATTCCTTAAATCAAGAGCCCCTGACCAGCGTCAGGGAACCTGCCTTGAGGGGTGGAAATTAGATAACCTGACACCTTCACCATTGACTTGCATTCACTATATATATTGTGTTTCCTCATTCTCTTGTATCTTATGGAGTGTATTAATGTTGATAGAATTGCCGACAATATGTTAGGGAAAAGGACACAAGTGCAACTAATGTGACATTTTATCGTGGCAACGTTTCGCTCTCCAGGAACTTTATCAAGCCATTACAGCCAATATGTGGACACAGAGGGCATATATAAGCTTAGAGTGAAGTGTACGGCACAATATAATCATTGTAGACGTAGTAATAGTTGTAATGCTAGTGGTAGTAGTAATGTGGTAGTAATAGTCAATTTGCCCATGAGTTAAAAAGGTTTTTAGAGCTTATTGCTTGGGTAGCATTAAATGGGTGGGACATATACGTATTTATGTTAGTGGGTTGGACTTGAGAAGGTCTTTTGCAGTGTTCCTCCTCTTTTATGTTCTTATGTAGTATCAGCAGCAGTAACTATGTGATGGCTCGGTTTATTGTTTTGAGGAGGATTCTTAGTAAGACTTCAGAGATAATGAAGCTGCCTTTATTTTGCTTGTGTTAGAAATAGCGATTAATGATGATTCAAGGCATATACATCTAAGGAAATTAAGCTCTTTAATCACTAGTCGGGTGTCATTGAATTTCATAAGATGATTGGTGGTATTCCTGTGTTGTACGCAGGCATTGTTCAAGTTATCATTCCTACATGCATTAATATATTCATTGAGACATGTTTCAAGGTTTCTTGCTGTTTTATCTATGTATATTTTGTCACAGC